TTAGAAGATTGTGCAAGACTTAAAGGTGCTCAAAACCCTCCTACCTTAAACCATCAAAACCAAACTCATGACTATTCGAAAAGTACGGCTAATAGTTCTCATAGTCAATTACATGATTTCTTTAACCATCAATCTAATCTTAACAATCTAAGAAACGGAACTCAAGATGGAAACAGTTCGATAGATGAAGAAGATAAAATGAGTCCTGCTGAACGGTTAATGGCTGCAAGTGGATTACATTTCATGACAGCTAATCTAGAACAAGTACTCGTAAGTTTTTTTTTATCAAATCACCATCACTCGAAACATACAACTAATCATCTTGGGTGCGGGGTTTCGAAATAGTCAGCAACGTTTTACAAATCATTTGAGATCCCATTACTAGACATCTACGACCATTACCGTCAACAACTAGCCGAAAGACAATCGACTTACGAAGCCGAAGTATCAGCCAAAACCAAAGCAATACGGGAAACCGAGATCCGAAACATGAAACAGAATTTCAGCTCTTCTTCTTCTACTCGTAAGGGAAACCCAAAACAAACCCGTTTCATAGGTCGTGATTTGAATTCGTTTAGAAAAGGTTTAAAAGAATTACAAGATCAAGTGGAATCAGTTGAAAAAGTTAAACAAATTTATTACTTGGAAGTAGCTGGTGGTGAATATGAAGTATGGAAAAGTGTTGCAGATAATGTAAGTCAAAACCAAGTCAAGAAAAAAAATTATACCAAACTGATCTTGTGTTCTTTTTGGGGTTGGGGTGATGGGTTTAGATAAGTTTAATTGTTAAATCAGAAGTAGAAGTCTATGATAGAATAGCATCTAAAGCCACCTCAGATCCAACCCTAGAACTAATGATCACCTCAATCCCTGATCCATTCGACACCTACAACCAAGACTTAATTCCCAATTCGAGTCAAGCGCCTGAGATCTATTCAATCCTACCACCCCTAAGTAGTATCCTAACCCCAGCCCAAGCGATCGCCCGAAAATCCTTACAAGATTTCACTCCTGCTTCTCAGACTCTTGAACCGAATTCTTCGTACCAAGGTTCATCGGTTGGAGACGTCTTGAATCATCAATTAGATTCTACAACTCATTGGGATCATCCGATCAACCAACCCAACGAACTACCACCACTACCAGTGGTTAATTACCAATCTGATGATCTAGAAGAAGAACCAGAAGAAGAAGATCGTTCGAACCGATACCCAAGTAGATCTTTGTTTGATACCCCACCAGCTTCTCCTTCATTACCTCATCCACCTACTCTTCACTCGATCGAATCAGTTCCCACGATCAACTTAATACCTCAAACCCAAAGCTTTGCTCCTACTCCTTTACGAAACATGGTCTTGATTGATTCTAATCCTGAACAAGAAACTGAATCTGTTTCAAATCCAACTCCAGATTCGAATCCAAATCCAGAGTATTCTCAAGACACCATCAAGTGTAACTTGTCAACTTTTAAAAGAGCTTCGGTGTTGAGTGGTATTAGTTTGGGTGGAACTTCTGGGATCGGGAATGGGAATGGGAATGGGAATGAAGAATCGATTATGAGTCAGATGCCTCCGCTTGGAATTGATTCGGATTCAGATTTAGAAAATTCGTTTGGTTTAGATCATCAGGATTGAAAAAATTGAAAAAATTGAAAAACATATTCCAGAACATTATACTTTGATTTCTTATGTGTTGGGTGGTTTTGGGTTACTTTCTTGACTCGTGTGGGCTTGATTTTTTTTATTTTCATTATGATTCGTTTTTTTTCCCGCTGCTTTTGCAATTCTTAAATTTCTTATTATGTTTTTTTTAGTTAATTCAATCAAGTTACATTCTAATACTTTAAGATTTCTTTTTGTTTTGTGTTTTCCTTGAGTCTTTTTTTTCTTTGTTTTGTTCTTGTATTCTATTATGTTTTTTAAAATGTATTACATCAACTTAATTCTATTCTATTCCAATACTTTTCTTTTTTTGTTTCTTTAATAAGGTTTGGTATTTTTTTAAAATACAAGAAAAAGTATATTATGAAATTTACATGAATTTAGTAAAAATAGTCAAAAAGAATGAGTGATGCATAAACATAAAGAAGTTGATATTCGATCACAAGCTTCATTAAGTGAAACTTTTTGGTCATCTTGTAGGTATGTAGCAAGCAAGCTCTTCAACAGGTGTTTCTTTTGAAAATCTATCTACATAAAGAATAATTGCCATTTTCGTACGTAGGAAGATCATGAAGATGGTATTTATTTTTGTACATTGGCAAATTCATGAACACCCGTGATCACCAATATCCTCAACATAGCTCAACATATAAACCACTTTATAGTACTTTGATAAAACGCTGATCAGATCAACATAATAAAACGATCGATATAAGTTCAAGTTCAAGCGCAAAGATCACTTTGGAAATCTTTCTGTCCAAGAAAATCAAATTTGTTTGTATGGGGAAAACAGTTGATTCAAATGGTCTTACATCTCTTGATCAGCTAAGATGAAGAACGCGGCACATCTATCATACAAAAATTTGCTTGATGAATCATGAGGTGAATCTGTTGTCTCCTTGTGGGTCAAATTCAATTGATCAAGTAATAGCATTTTTGGAAGAACATCTCTTTCGGTTATCACCACTTTCGGTTTTGTACTGTAATCAGTGCTAAGTGAGGTTAGAGGGGAAATGTCAAAGTTTTTCAATGCAAGATGTTATATTTCCAAGAGCCCATATAGAGCAGCGATAAAAACAATTCTGTTTTAGGCGTCGAGACATTAAGGCTTGTGAGTCGCTATTGAGTATATTGACATTGACCAAGATCCGGTACGACAGTCGAGTTAAAACTTTCGTTATGGTATATTTCTATCTTATTTCAAGAAATGAGTTGGGGTTTTTTTTACAACATTTTCTTCAAGATCGCATCTGTGACTTCATCTGTTGAAGATTTCCCACCAAGATCAGGTGTGAGGATCTTACCCTCATCAAGGACAGCATTCACAGCCGAATAGATCACTGAGGCAGGTTTAGTATAACCCAAGTATTCTAACATCATGGCAGCTGATCTGATGGCTGCCATTGGATTTGCGATCGATGGTGAATGGTTCACGATATCGGGTGCTGAACCATGTACAGGTTCACCCTTTCATTGAATCAAATGTCAGTTCACGGGAAACAAAATCAATAGACCTCAGGGTATATTGAGCAAACTTACCATGATGAAATTGTCACCAGCGTTCACGGATGGCACTAATCCTAACGAACCAACTAACGCAGCTCCAGCATCACTATAAAAAATCAAACATTCAGCCTTAGCTATCCATTTCTCTTTCAATCTTTCAATCAATTGTAGATCAGTGTCACTTACGATACGATATCACCATATAAGTTAGGACAAACCAAGACATTAAACCTTTGAGGTGTTCGAATCAGATTATAAATCAAACTATCCACAATTCCTTCATCTACTATGATAGATTTAAATTGAGGATTCCGTTTTTCATCAAAGATGGATCTAACTGATTCTCTAAAAAGTCCGTCTGAAACTGATAAGACGTTAGATTTATGAACAATAGTCACTTTGGATGGTCCCTACAGAATCATGAGTCGATGAAAGAAATTCACATCAGTGATTCTTAGACAGTAAAGAATCTGAGAATACATAGAAAAACCATCATTCACCTTCCAGATCCGTTCCGATTCCGATAATTGACTTCTAACTTCTTCACCTCTAAGAGCGACCTGTCCAGCCATTCTACCGATCCGTTCACTAGCACGTTGAGTGATCTGACGAACAGCCAAAGCGACTTTCCCACCACCTAATCCATCAGGTTGATCATTCAAAGTTTCTTGTTTAATATAAAGACATTCAGTATTTTCTCTAACGACAGTAATCTCCAGTGATTTCGAATTAGAATGAATCGGTCTAATATTCGCATAAAGGTCTAATTCTTTACGAAGTTTAACGATCGGAGAACTATATCCTTCAACCTTATGAGACGGTGAAGAAACCGCACCGAAGAGAGCAGCTGTACAATCTTCTCTTAAACTTTGAACCGTTTCTTTTGGTAAGGAAACACCCGTCTTCGTAAATAATTCAAAACCGGCTTCTAAGTTTATGAACGTAGGTTTGGGGATTCCAACTGTAGACTGAAGGATTCGTTGGGCTGCCTTTGGTTTGGGGGTTTAGGAAAAAATTAATGGTTTGGGTTTCTATCCAAATTAGTTGATGAGTTCTTTGATCATTTTACGTAGAAGAGGTTTTGGGTTTACTTACTGGGATGACTAATCGACCTATTCCATCTCCTGGTATGAGTCCAATTTTTAATGCTTTTAATCCTGTGCTTGCCATTTTGATTTTTGCTGAGAAGGTCGAATATGAAAATTTCCAAATTCCATAAATATCGGGAATCACCAAAAACTTGAGTTGGGTATGGCTTATGGGTCGTGGGGTATGGGGTATGGGATCGAGGCGACTGTTACATATCACATTTTTTTTCCCGCTTCTTGTTTTTTTTTGGCTTCAACTCTCATACTTAAACAAAATTATATTTACCACTTGCCCTCGGCACATTTGTTCACAACCTTACCATAAAAGAATACAAAGGAATTCAATCGATATCATTTGGGTCACTTTAAACATCTGAAGCTCATTCCAGATTCGAAATTATCAAACATCAAAAATGATCCGAGCAGCCAAGATTCAGAGAAAGACAAAAGAAACAGATATCGATCTAGAGTTGAAACTAGATGTACCAATAGGAACCAAACAAGATATCCAAATCTCCACCGGTATAGGATTTCTAGACCATGTTAGTAAGTTCTTCAATTCACACAAACATCGAAAAAAACAAAACATCTAAAAGACATTGAACTGAGTGATCATGATGAATTGAATTGTTTGAAAATCAGATGTTAGATGCTCTCATTAAGCATTCCGGAATGTCTTTGACTTTGAAATGTCAAGGTGATCTTCATATTGATGATCATCATACAGCTGAGGATGTAGCTATTGCACTCGGACAAGCTTTTCATCAAGCTTTATTCGGCAAAGATGGTGAAGGTTTAAGAGGTATCAAAAGGTTTGGTACCGGTTTCGCACCTCTAGATGAGGTTTGTTGATATGTTAAATCTTTTTAAATTTCATAAACTCTTTCCCAAACATAGACTAATGATGATTTCTTTTCATTAGGCACTAGCTAGAGCAGTGGTTGATATTTCGAATCGACCTTCTTGTTGTACTGACTTGAAACTTAAAAGGGAAAAGATTGGAGACCTTTCATGTGAAATGATTCCTCATGTGTTTTATTCATTTGCAATGGGAGCTTTGATTACGGTTCATGTGGATGTACTCAAAGGTGATAATGATCATCATAAGTAAGTGATTATGTTTTTTTCAAAATCTCATTCTTTTGAAAGTATGATCAATTGAATCGGATTGATCATTTTTAGGGCCGAGGCTAGTTTTAAGGCCTTTGCTTTGGCTCTCAAGGAGGCTATCACGAGGACTGGTTCTAATGAGATTCCTAGTACAAAAGGAACTCTCAGCGTTTGATTGATGTCCAGTAGATACTTGATCAAAATATTAGAATCACCACTCGAAAAAGAATCGAAAGTTATACTTTTCGTATTCCATCACTGATGCTAAATCTATATACAATTATATATAACAAACAAACCGACTTTCAAAGTCTTTTAACAACACCAAATCAGACGAAGAAGATTTTCAAAAGTCAGAAAAAGTCGAACCGAAGAGATTTACTTCATAATGCTTAGTTTGATATTCTTCAGAATGATCGGCTAAATCTTGAATTAAATGAGAAGTGGTACGACTCATTTGACGAGCGTGTGAAAGATGAGGAGCTTGGACTTGTTGATTGATAATACCTACCCAATCAAGATCAGATACCCATCCATGTAATCGAAGTTCATTCACATCTTGAGGTCTGTGTCTAGGATTCATTTGAGTAAGCCATTTAAGAAACGAACGTCCCAAAGGATCGATAAAAGGATCAATTTTAAGTTTTCCTTTTAAAATCGTTTCCATCATCACATCAGAATAGTTTGATGAATCGTGTGGAAGTTCATAAGGAAGTTCACCAGTATAAAGTTGATGAAGTAGAACACCAAGTGAATACCAATCAATTGAATAACTATAACTCTCACCACAAATAACTTCAGGAGCCAAATAATTTACCGTACCACAAACTGAGTTAGTTCTTCCATTGGAAGTAGAAACATCTTTTGAAAGTCCGAAATCGGCTAATTTAATATTCCCATCCGATGTCAATAAAATGTTTTCAGGTTTTAAATCTCTATAAATAATCTTAGAAAGATGTAAAACACTTAAACCAGTCGAAATTTGTACTAAATAAAATAAAACTTCAACATCATTAAAAAATGTATACTTTTCTAAAAGGTTTTGTAGTGTACCTGATTCAATTAATTCTAATGCTAAAAAAATATATCTTGGATTCGAAAATGATTCAATTGATTGTACTATAAATGGTTTTTCCTTCAACTTTTTCATTAATTTTCTTTCTTTTGAAATCGTGTAAAGTGATTCGTCTAACCAAAGTTGTGATTTTTTTAATACTTTGATTGCGCATACTTTTGAGGTTGATTTGTTTTTTGATAACCAAACTGTTCCGTATGATCCATTTCCTATTTGTTTGATTAATTGATAATCGGTTATTTTGGTAATCCTTTTTGGATTGTTAAGGTTTTTTTGATTGGGATTCTGCGATTTGCTTTCAAGAGTTGGTGTAAAAGGTTTTTTATTATTTAATGGTGTGACGGTCATTCTTCTTTGGGTTTTAAATTCATTCATTTTATTCGTACGTTTTTGTAGTAAAGGTTTGAGCTGGAGTCGATAAATTATATTTTGGATTCTGAAAGAAGATTTGATTTGTTTGAAGGTCTAGTGTTAAGTTGGAGAGAGAGAAGTTCATATCGATAGCTTCTTTATATATCATGAAGAATCTATATAGTCTCAGTACTCATGATGATCTCACAGACGGGTAAAAGTAAAAATGGTAACCTTTATCATCCTAAAGTGAACTTGTTCTCTTTGCTTTTGTTTACGTCTGTTTCTGGCTTGAATCTGATCATTTCAAAGGGTTATGCCTTTATCCGTTACTCAGTCTTTGAGCTTGACGGTTATCCTTAGTTCTTCATCCGCTACCTTACCAATCTTTTGCGTATGCTGAGATGGTTCACTGCGTTCAGTTTTGACTGGATAGCATCCTTTCCTGTACCACGGGTCTGGCTCTGCCATTTGCTTATCATCATAGACTAGCAATCAAACGTCGAGTTCTAGTTCTACTTATTAAGTATGACATATGCGTATTTATTTTCGGCTTTCGAGAAAGAATCGAAGGTCGTTAGACTGAAAGGAATCCACCTTCTCCATTGTAGATAGATCATTTTCGAACTTGTGAAGTATATGTCATCCTGGGCTTTTGAGTCTCTTTATAATTATTTGTGTGAGTTATGGCACAAGTAATTCCATTCCACGATTTAATTAATTTTTTGATATTCGCGAGGTCATGAGATACTCGCCCATTATTGCAATACCAGCTTAAACTACATACATGCAAGAATAAGCAATAACACTAGGCAAGTTATTGTTATCGGGAGTCGAAGATCCAGAAAATGGTTCAAACTAAACGCTCAACAAATCTGAACAAAGAACAAAAAAAAACTTATACAATTCCTCAAGCCTCAAAGAATGGTAAAAGGCTATATACTATTACTATGTTCTACATCCACTTCATCCTACAAATGACGCAAAGACTAAAAACTGCCTGCCTAAAAATTATTACTAGTAATCCTCCCTCGTATAGCTGACTTTAGCTAAGAGTGTTTGAGGGAGTGCTCCGTAGTTTTCCTTATACCACGGTTTTTGACCATCGGAAGAGACTCGGTGGCGTGATTCCACCTACTGCCTATCGAATCAAAAAGTCTGCTCAGTATGACAATATCGACGATTTATGAATATTGAAAAGGCCATAAGATTTAAGCACAATACTCACAGAGACTGGCTATACTTTGCATTCACAAGTCAGACACCCTCTTCAAGTAGTTTCCTTGTCATGCTCCGGGTCTGAACTCTGTCCAGTGAGCCCCGAAGACGAAGGATTTGATGGGTTGTTGCGCCGACTGTTTTCCCCTTCTGACGTTTTGATGACGGCGGCTCGATTGATGACTCAGACACCTTGCGTTTGTGACAAGAGTTAGGTGTGGTGGTGGTGTCTGGAGACTCAGGAACTAGGACGGCAGGGGTAACCTGAAGCGAGGTTTCAAAGGAGCTTGCGTAGTTCACAGCAGCCATCAAAGCTGCGAAAGGGTCACTCAAAGGTTCCTATAGATCAAGAGAGGAAATGTTAATAGGGTTGATTGAAAGGAGAAGAAAAAAAAACGACTTACCTCCTCAGTCACTCTGAGATCAGGGATCTCGGATAAAGGGATTGGTGAAGGGATTTGATAAAGTCTTTTGACCACCTCAATTCCACCTTCGATCCTCGATGGTCGATAAGTATGTTTTGCCGAAGCAGTGAGTAAAAGCCTTTGATTTGGATTGGCCATCCCAATTGAATTTGCCGTCTTAGGATGAACTTTTTTAGAGTAAAGCCTCTGAGTGTGAATCTTGAAATAAAATTGCTTTGTTGGAGTTGGCCGGAATCGTGTGGGTGTTGATGTAGGGTTATAGCAGTGTAGGTGTGGAGTTTGAAAGGGATCTTGGGGAGACGGTGTTGGGGTAGATGAGATCATGTTGGTTTGGGAATGATGTTGTTGTAGAGTCATGATGAAAGGAATCTGGAAATAATCAAGATGGTGATGATGATTTGAGAATGAAACTGAGTCGAGATGTAGAGAAAGTGATCAAGATAGAAAGTGGATGGCTGAGAAAGAAGGAAGGGGAGATGGGATGTTGCTGGGATCACAGGTATTTATGAAAATAAGGTCACAAGCCCAGCTGATGCTGAGGACGTTCCTTAAGAATGAGGTTTCGAAGCTGAGGTTCCAACTCAGTCTCAATGCTCTAATTTGAAGGAACAAACGCCACGCCGATCACATTTCTCAATCCGCTAAACCGAAAGATTTCTAAAAGATGGTACTTTTGGGATCACATGGCTTTGAGTCTTTCTGATATGTATCTTCAATATCCCGACGAACGGTTACTCGTTTTGACCTTCTTGTTTATCGATTCTACGCGGCCTGAATTTTCGTCTGATCATGGGTTCAGTACTGTGGAAATGACGCTCTGATGTTTTGTAAATCAAGGCTTCATGCATTTGTCTTTCCATGTCCAAGCAGGCTTTTTTGGTTCTTGAATTGATCTTGGAGGATATATTTGGTTCAGTGAGCGTATAAGCACAAAAGTATCACTTTATTGAGACAACGAGAAAAATAAATGTCGGATTTGTAGACTTCATCATGGGTTTTTTGCGGTTATGCTTGGGGTACGAAGAAGCTGAAGAGAGCCTGAAACAGACATGAGTCCGATTTTCTAATGACCACACCACATGATTAGACAATTGTAAGCCTCGAGTGAGACTTGTGTTTCAGGTTTTATTCCTGACAAAGGATGTCAGTATGGACAGTTGGAGTCAAGACCAGTTCCTAAAATTATTTTACTATTTCTCGAATGTTAAAAGGAAATTCCAGGATTGCGTGTGATTGTGAGGATGTTTTTGGCTTTCCTCCCTTTCCTTTCTTCCTGAGGGCAGCAAAGAAAGACATGTATCAAAAGCATAGGAAATCCTTACTGATGTCATAACAGTGAGGAGACACCACTTTTCCCTACTACAGGAAAAGTATAGTGGAAGTTAGACTTTGAAACACATTGCAGAGCGCTGAACTTTGAAGAGATCAAACAGGATCAAACTCAACAAGTGTCACCAATATGTTGATGATCAGTAACATCATACTCTCAAGTTAAGCATATCATATGCTTATAGAGATAATGTAATAACTTTGAAATTTTTGGTCAACGCATACATCCATACCACTTTTCACAATTGCTACCCACAAACCATCAAGAAGACGAAGATGACTCTCAAGACAAACACGAAAGCTGGTTCATTTAGCTCACTCGATCCTCCTATATCACAATGGATGTAAGTATTCTTCAAAGTTACTCAATCTGAATATATCAAATGACTTAATCCTATCTGGTTTTCTATCTCAGTGTGGATGCCGTTACAGCAATGGGCTTTTCTCATATGACTCCCGTACAAGCCAATACTATACCACTATTCATGCAGAACAAGGACGTGGTAGTTGAGGCGAGTTGTGCACTTTTGAAAACCCAACTTTCCTTTTGATCAGTTTCAAAATCATTCATCACACAAGAATTAATAGGATTTCGGATTTCGATCAATTCCTTTCTTTTTCAGGATAGGCTGTTACTGGGTCTGGAAAAACACTTTCATTTGTGATACCTATCTTGGAAAAAGTCTTATCTATGGAAAGGGCTGAAAAGAAAGCGATACGTGCGATTGTGATTAGTCCTACAAGGTGAAATCTAGTTACCCCTTCGGTTGCCCATCTTATGTTGCATTGACTGACGACTCCTTTGAATGTTAGAGAACTGGCTACACAAATATTCGAAGTATTCTCCTCAATCATACGGTGTCATCCATCCTCTGTAAACCAACTCGGGGAAGATTCAGAAGCAAAGGATGATTCTGATTGCGTGAGAGCAATGTTACTCATTGGTGGAACTGGAGCAAGTTCGATTAGGAAAGATATGAAAGAGTTTCGAGAGAATGGTGCAGATATCTTGATAGCTACTCCAGGTCGTTTAGAAGAGTTCTTGTTGGGCTATAGCAGTATATCGACAGGTAAACAGAAGCTCAACTCGAGCGATCGAAGCGTTGCTCGTCATGCTCTTGTCAACTTGAAAGCATTAGAAATGCTAGTACTTGATGAGGCTGATAGGTACGTTGATACCAACATTTCTTTTCTACGTTCACCAGGTTGTTGATATCGTTTGGTTGATCAAAAACAGGCTGCTCGATCTTGGATTTGCTCCCGTCTTGACCAACGTAATAAGTCATCTACCCAAACAAAGGCGTACCGGACTCTTTTCCGCGACGCTCCTCAACGATGGATTGACCGAGCTCATCAAAGTTGGTCTTCGAAACCCAGTGAAGATTGTCGTCAAAGTTCAAACAAACAAGCAACTCTTGGTAGAGGATGACCGAGTGCCGAGTGGTTTAATCAATTATTTTCTCGAAGTACCTAAAATCGAATGGAAGATGTCTCAATTGATCAGACTATTAAATCAAATGATCATTCCAAAACCACAAGGTGATGGAGCTCATAAGTTTATTGTCTACATGTCTACTTGCGCCTGTGTCGACTACTACTATAAAGTAAGTATCTTCGGCTTGAGAAACTAATGCGGCCCATGATGTAGGCTCAGAGATGGTTCTAGCAAGTTCAATACTGACGATGATTTATTGATTACAGATATTGTCTAAGCTATCGGAGCTGGAAAACTTTGCAATCTATTCACTCCATGCTCAACAATCTCCCACAAGACGTTCCATCACTTACAATTCCTTCAAAACTTCCCCACTCTCCAAGCCTACCGTACTTTTATGCACCGATCTCGTGGCCAGGGGACTCGATCTACCTGACATTGACGTCGTGATCCAATACGATCCTCCTAAGGATGTCCGCAACTTTTTTCATCGGATTGGACGTACTGCAAGAGCTGGACGGGGTGGGAAAGCTATCGTTTTCCTTCAAAGTGGTCGGGAGTTGGACTATATTGGTAAGCAATCCATGCTCACTCTTGTTTTCTGATCTGTTGCTAATTGTACCACGTACATCTCACTCATCCTGTGGACAGAATACCTCAAGATTAGAAAGATTGTACTTGAACCATGGCCGTATATATGTGCAAATGGCGAATCAAGTCAGTCTAGGAGCACAACTCACCAAAAAGGTCGGAAAACCCCAACTACTCCAAGAACAACACATCCTACGCTACCTGATACCGATGAAGAGGCCTCTGTGTTAAATTCGGTCATCAAGACTATCGTAAAGACTGATCGTGATCTCCATGACAAGGTGAATGAGTCTCTCAGCCAATCACTGTGTAAGAGAGATCTGACCAATCCTTTGGTTCCTTAATTAAACTTGTAGGCAGTCAACGCATTTGTGTCTTACATTCGATTTTACTCGAATCATGAGGCATCTTATATATTCCAATTGAAACATCTTGATCTATTACAACTTGGATTTGAAGGATTCGGATTGATTAGGATGCCTAAGATGCCCGAACTGAAAGATTATCAAGGTAAAGATGGCCCATTGACATCTGAAGGCTTTAAAAAGGAAGGACATGATTTTAAGGTGAGCAAATAAGCTATTGATATAATTTTATGGGTTAATACTCATTAAATCTTTATATTTGGTTGTCTTTTATAAAGTGGAGTGAGTATCAATACATAGATCCGATTAAAGAAAAGAATCGAATTGAGAAACTTGAAAACGAAAGATCAAAACCTACAAAAGTAGAAAAATCTAAACTGAAGATTGATAAACTAACACCAATAAATCAAAAACTAATCGAATTAGAATCTAAAAAGTTACCAAATCATGTAGCATGGTCTAATCAAATTAATAAAAAATTAAATAAAGAACAAAAAAGGTTAAAGAGACTTAGAGGAGAAGAATCGGATTTATTGAAGGATGAGAATGTAATTGATTTAAATCAAAATGATCATGAAGATGATGAAAAAGAAGTGGAAACTGATTGGAAAGAATTGGTTAAGGAAAAGAAAAGGTTAAAGAAATTTAAAGTAGATTCAAAAGATGATTTAAATTTAAAAAATGATGAAAAGATTTTGAAATCTAATCAAAGTGAAGGTCAAGTTGGATTTTTTGATGGGTTATTGGATTAAAGAATGGATATGGTTTCTTTTTTCATTTAAATGGTTCTTCATTTTTCTTTTCGATTTCAAACTTTTGTATACATGTTCACAATTTGATCTTATAAATAAAAAAAAATCTTGAAGCCGCGCATAAGAAAAACTTACAAACATCTTCCTTATATGTAAGGATAAACAAGCAAAACAGCCTCCTGTTTTTCACCTTGGTCAGATATCTTAAGACCTCTCAAAAGTCTGCATGACTTGATAAGCCATTGAATCAAAGAAAGGGAAATACTTGTTTATTTCATAAGAGAAGCTCATCTCAAAACATTCAATGAAATCAAGTTGAAAAAGATATATAGATTTGCTTTCCATCAGAGTAAGATAAAGGCTAGATCAGAATACATTTAAAAAGTTTCAACACCTATGCGATACATATGAACCATGGTTTACCATGTGATATATTCAACGAAAAAAAGGTACACATAATATGCAGATGAGATTATGAAGATGATAAACAGCTTCAAATCCTTCACGCATCACACGT